TCCATTTCGGCGCTTGCTTTTGTGACCATCACCTAGCAACGGCCGTAAACAAAACAGCAGCTCGATGACGCAAGCTTACCGGGGTTCAGAAGGAAAAAAGACAGTGTGAACACAAACCAACCGAGGAGGTGGCAGGAGGAGACAATCGAACTTTGGTACGGTCCAGGCAAATGAACCAAGTGTGTAAGCACCCTCAGTTTCTGCTAATGAGCTGATGATCTGAATCAGGTGTCTTCACTTTCTTAACTTGCATCGGAGCTGCAGCAACGATTGGTCCGTTTTACATCCTCTGAGAAAATGGTTGATGGTCGCCCAGTTATGAGATTCCATAAAAATTCTTAAGGAAGCCACATGCTCGCACTTTTCATGTGTGTTTTGGGTTGCATCATTGTCACTCCAGGTCATAATAATATATCTTCTGAAAATGAGTGCCGTATAACAGCAGTGAAAAGATTGTAAATAATAAAAAAAAGCATGTAAACATGTCGCCAGAGTGGCTTTTTTGTTTCTTTTCTTTTGCATCCCAGCCACTAGCACCCCATCTTTAAACATTTCAGTTTTTAACTATTAAAACTATTTGACTTAGTAATGTTGGTAAATTAAAATAAAGTTGTTAAACAATAAAAAAATCCTGATATTCGTAAATGTGTTGTTAAAAAAATATTCAATAATTATTGCTATGGAATAATCTGAAACATGATATCGTGATAATTTGTTTTGCAATATTGCCCAGCCATTATTTAAAGTTCTCTTTTGTTGTGGCATGACTGGCCTATCTCCAATAAAAATAACGTATTGTGATTGAATAATTAAACCAAAATAAATCTACTACAGTGCATTTGAGATTTTCGACTATGAAAACAACACAATTATAAATGATTTCCTTAACGATTTGTTTAATCTCAACAGTCTATGATCCACATATTTTCTGCAAATTTGCAGACTTGCTGAAACAAAACACCTGCTTCTGAGCCAGGGTGTGCTGCAAATCTAAAGCCCTGAAAGATTATGGGGCATTTTTCAGAGATTCATCCCCTCAGTGTCGGAAGGATGAAGTAATAGTGGTGTTATGCACAGGCTTTTCTGGCGTGTTTGCAGCCGCAGCGAGTCTGCCTGCTGTCTGGCCTGTCTCGTCTCCAGCAGGAAGGACAGTGATGATCAAAAGCGCGAGAGGGAGAGTGAACTGTCTCTCCCCCGCCTGAAGGTGTGCCTGGTGTCACAGAGCTGCCGAACTGACGCTCGGGTCCCTCTCGTGTCTTTCATCTGCGAGCGCTCCTCATCCCCCCGCGGCTTCCAGCGAGATGCAGCAGAATAAAGTGCATGCTTTATTGAATATGAAGCCCTTTTGATGCCACGGCCCTTTGGTGACTGATGAGTTGGTGACTGTAGCGGAAATCTGGGTTAGTTATTTTGCCCGCATCTTCAGTTTCCATGCAGATTTCTGTCTTAAATGCTTTCCTGGATAACATTAAGTGCACTGCCTTTAGAAATTGAAGCTGTTAACATGTCGGATTGGCCATAGGGGGGTAGACAAGGCCAGACGAATGTAACAGTCATGCAATAGAGCTTTTCAATTAAATATAGGCTAACCCCACATCAAACAAGCTGTCGACGTGTATTAGAGGCTCTTTGTGCAGATAAGAGGGCGTCAGACATCACAGGCTGGATGTCGCCGGAGCATTCAGCCTGACAGATGCACAAAACCCCCACAATACATTTGATGTCATTTTGCTCAATTGTCAGCGCAAGTCTTTGAATTTTTTTTAATATATTTTTTTTCTGACATATGAAATTGTGTTAGATGCATTGTTATGCATTAGATGTTATTACTGTAGACTCCATCTTTAGGGGCTCTTTGAATTACTAAAATTATGAAATGCTCTCATAAAAATGAAATTTTCTGCATATTAACACCACTTTAAGAATTTTGACAAATTGATTAATAACCTGAAAGTACTGTGTAATCATAGACAGTTGTATAAGATTTGTAAAATTGTAGCTAATTATAAAATGTTTCATCATTTCGGTTAAATAGACCAGGGGTTTTTAATCTAAGGGGCTACAACTGTGCTAGGGGTCTACAGAAATGTTTGGAGAAAATAAATATTCAAAATGTTTAAGAAGTGTAATCGTTTAGTTATTAAAATACATAGCTGATAGATAAATATTATCAGCATTTAATTAAGACAGTCGGTGTGATAGCCCAGTGGTTAGAGCATATTGCGCAACATTGGGTGTCCTGAGTTTAAACCCCGGCTCATGGACCCGGGGTGTCCACGGGATCTTAAAATGTCTTGGATTTCAAAATCTATATTTTAGGTCTTAAATTCACCGAAATAATGTCTTGTAGGTCTTAAATAATTTTAAACAGGTCTCACTTATCCTATGTCCATGTTTTCAGTTTTCCTTTCCCATCCAATGTCCAATGATACATCTTAATAAAAGATTTTACAGAACTATATCTATAACTCTATTTAGGAATATGGTTTAATTATCTACCTTACAATAACATTTGTTTAAAGGTTTTCCATATATGGAACTAAGGCTATATGTTGAGAACACTGACCTGGGCAGATGGTTGTGCATACATTTAGTTTTTTATAAATTTTTTTTAGGGGTTTTTACCTTTATTATGACAGGATAGTAGAGGATTCAGACAGGAAAGCATTGGGAGAATAGAGAGGAGAAGGATAGGCAAAGGACCTCGAGCCAGGAATCAAACTCGGGTCGCCGTGAGCATATTGGTGCTATTTGTCAGTGCGCAGTACCACTAGGCTACTGACGCCGACTACAGTACATTTAGTTTTTAAAGCTTTTCAAAACTTTTTTTGTTTTGTGTATGTAGACAACAGACTTTTCTTACTTTTACACATTGTTTAAAAAATTGTGACTATAAAATACATAATTAGAGTTGTTTTGATGTGGCAAGAAAAAATCTTTTCCACTGGCCCAACCAAAAAAATCCTTAATGGTTAGCCCTCTGTAAAGCCCTGTTTACACTACTGCGTTTTCAAAAGACTATCTACGACACTGGCATTTCATTTAGTGTTTCTAAAAAAGTTTTTTCTGTCCACACTACACCTCTGAAAAGGCACATCACGTGACCGCACGCACACTCTGGCATGTGCTGCTGCGAATGCGCACGTCTGAGCTCCAGGCAGCCAGCGGGTACTTTGAACCCACCAGCCCAGGTGAGAGCCGTGCACGTTGGACAGTTTATCACGGGTCTACTGCTGAATCTCATCTCAGTTGTTAAACGTGATGTTTAATTCATCTCGATCGTGAAACAAAATAGCCAGGGTTATGTCAATGATGTAATAAAGTACACCGTTCCCTTTAAAGATTTTTCTGACGTGTCCTCGGGAGTTTGCTTTCCATATTAAACTTGCGGAGTCAGAACTTAAAAGGAAAGGATTTAAGACTTAACTTTGTGTACTTGATATTGAGAAAAAGCCCCAATTAACGAATAGTTATTATTAATTAGCGAATATCTGCAGCCCCGCCTAAACTCCAGGGAAGTGTGGCCGGATGGCGTAACTGTAGCAAAAGATATGCGTTTTAAAACAGAAATGTATTAGTGTAAACAGGACCAAAGTCTGAAATTTATTCAGCATGGGCTTTAAAATGTCTTTTAAGAGCGCACTCACACTATGCTATTCGAACTGTGCCCAGGCCCATTTCCCGTTTGAGAAGTGGGAGTGCTCTGAATCTGGCTCCGGCACGTTCATATGGCCGCCACTGGCCCAGTTGGAAAAGATGTGTCAGAGTGCGGTTCACTTGGGCTTTGGCACAATATGCTTGTGTGAGTGCAAAACATGCCTGAGCCCGAAACTGAAAGCGAGACGTGACTTTTACATATGGATTTATTAATTACTGTTCAATGAACACAAACTGTTGTAGTTTATTAAAGAACCAAACCCCTCACTTCACAACAGCTGCACCTTCAGCAAACCTCCTAATTCCTGCAGCAGGAGGACTTTTTAATTGTTCATGAGCGTCAAAAGTGGCTGATCTGTTTGGTGAAATATTAGACCGTATGTTGAGTGAAATCGCTTTGTGACCAGCACATCATCGATAACGTAAGCGTCCCCAGGCGCGAATGGAATTCGAGTGCATGCCGTCGGGGTAGACAGAAGAGGGTGCTTTGGCCCGGTTCAAGGCAACTGTACATAGTGCGAGTACGACCTAAATGTGTTAAATTTGACTTAGTGAAACCTGCAGAAACACTGGGAGTTTTCCTGATCTTGACCCCCCTCTCCTACTCCCACTTCACTTCCTATCAGTTTACTGTCTTATCGAATAAAGGTAAAATCTTTAAAACACAAACATTTAATTAAGACAAATGAACACGGGTATGTATAAAAGAAACAAACATATAGTTACGTTTATTTGTAAACCAACACAAGCGATCCAACACATACGAACCAAAATGCATTAAATAACGAGTTGTTAATTAAATGTTATCCAGAAAAATTCAATTGAAAAAAGCAGATTTCATTGTGTCATGCAAAATAGATTTTCTGCTAAATAATTTTGAGGCATTTGGTTATTTTCGCAAATTCACTCTCTTGTGCATAAACATGTGGGTTTCTTCTGTGATTATGCTCTTTTTTTATATTTTTATTTTTGCTCCTCTGGGTCCTTAAAAATGTTTCACACTGAGTGTAAGTTGGAAAATAGGTCATTAGGAAGTGAGGAAGACGAGGGAAAGCTGGGAGCCCGGTTAGATCTCCCATTAAATATGCATGAGGGCCATTTATGATGCTGTCAACCTGCTCCATGATCTGAAGTGTGTTCAGACTTCACACACTGTCATTCTGCTTAATTAGAAGCATTCTGCTTTCTGCAAAAGGTTATGGTTCGTTTGACTTTCAAGTCAGTATTTTGCTAGATTGTTGTTGTTGTTCTCCATATATTATTATTTCTTGTCATCAATATATTTAAACTGTCATGAATAGTCTTTTTATATATAAACTGAGTGTTTTTTTCTATATGTTCAGCGGTGCGTCAGGAGCAGGGGGGATGAACCGAGAGGAAGCCCCTGGCAAGTCTCCTGAGGAGATGTACATCCAGCAGAAGGTGCGGGTGCTGCTCATGCTCAAGAAGATGGGATCAAATGTAAGTGTCAGACTGCAGACAGTAAGACATCTTCTGATGTGCTTTTATAATGCAGTGGAATGGTATTCACCTCTGAGTTGAACAATGTTCTGTGAGATATGTACTCTGAGCAGGACATTGTTAATCTGTTAAGCTAAAACACTGCAGGCAAAAATATGTTTGGATTATTCATGCACTGTCAGTTTTGGAAATTAGGGTTATTTGGCTTTCCTTAAATAGCTTCTTCATTGTAATGGAAAGAACATCCAAAATATACTTAAGTCTTTCTTTTATCAGTTTGTTTCTGTAGCCTTTAATTATTTACAATACACATTTTAAAGCCTTTTTCTCAAAATGATTAGTTTTTCTCCTGCACTGAGCCATAAATCTCCACATAAACAGCATTAACACACATCCCACTGCACAGTTTTATTAGTGTCTTCTAGTCTTTTTACAGAAAGATTTATTGCTACTTAATTTCCTACATAGTCTGATTATATGCTACATTTTATTCTACAAAAATATAAAAGTTGATATTTTCTCTATTATGGAAAATAAATAGAAATAAAAATATTCACAAAATTCCCCCTATATAATCTATATAAAGATTAGATTTATATTTTAGAAATAGAAATAAATTAGCTAAATATGGTATAACTAGAATATTTAAATGAAATTTTAGAAAAACTTAAAATAAAAAAAAAAAACTTGTAAAATCAATCATATTATAATTCTGTTGTCATTTTTCTAAATTGATTTTTGTAATCAATGGACTGGATGATTGTGGTCATAAATATTAGTCTTTTATAATCTATCCACCTACACTGTCTTGCTTTAATATTGCATTAGGTAATTACTCTGAAATGTTGTAGTTTTGTTTTTGTCCACAGCTCTATAAACTTTTAGGTGATAAGATTGACTATGCAGCATTTATTTTTGTGTGTATAATGCTATTAGTAATGCATAAATAAACCTAGAGAACTTGGAAAGCACATTTAAGATTTTTATGTTAAAATTCAGAAAGCAGGGGCCTCATGTATCAACGCTGCGTACGCACAAAAACTTTGCGTACGCCAGGTTTCATGCTCAGAATCGCTCACGTTTGGATTTACTAACAATGAACTGAACGTGGGAATTTGCGCAGGTTCACGGCAGGTTTCTGGCAGGCGTACGCACATTTTTTGTGCGTGTCTGTTTTATTTCCATTGGCGACTCCTAGAGGCAGTTGTGTTAAATTCTTCTCTACAAAGTGTCTGATCCTTGCAATGGCGTCTGTATGAGACGGGTTCATATAGTAGGTATGTAAGATTTCCATACCATACAGTTGACCAGCTAAACATTAAAGCACAATTTGCAGCGGTCGCCTGTTTTCCCAATGTAATCTGAGCTATCTACTGCACGCACATTGCTATAAAGACACTATGTGAAGATAAATTTGCATGCGTGAATCAGAAACATTTCCATTCAATAAATGTGCAAATAAAATATGATGCACAAACTTATTGATGATTCCTACTTGTCTTTCTCGTGATAAATAGTGGGCAAAATCTGATATGTAGCGGGGAAAAAAAAGAAGAATGAGTTCATCAGACGCTGGATTCGAGCCGAGTTATGCTCGAACGTGTCAGTACACGATCATATGCTTCTTATGAGGTGCGCCACTGAGACTGCGAGGGTACTGCAACATTTTACAGATATAAACCACACTAATTCTTTTTTAAATCCACTCAGTGCGATGTTCAGACCCAACTGTGTTAACCGTATCAGCTAAACTCTCCCACTCTATTTTTTTCTTTTGTTGTTAATTCCGCCGAACAAACTTGCAAATAACACCGCTTTTCTCCGGTCTACCTCCGAAAGCAGCACCTCAATTTCACATTCTGTTCAAAGTTTCTCTTTTTGCTTGCTTTTGCCATTGCTTTTTCGTTGGGTTTTTACATTAGCATAGTCATTAGCATATTCATACGGGGGAGGAGGCAGGGAGGGGTTTTGTGCTCGTGCATGTTGCGCTCAGTTTCACGTTCATTCAGATGTACAAAAGAATATGCGTGAGATTCGGCGTACGCAGTGTTTCATACATCTGAATTTTTTTCTGCGTACGCACATTTACAGCTTTGTGCGTACGCAATGTTTTAGTAAGATTTCCACGCAAGTCTTCGTACATGAGGCCCCTGGTGTGTATTTCTTTAACTTGGTGAAGTTTTCATTATAAAAATGTACAAAAGCTCGCACATCACTTTAACTGGGTGCTCAGCCAAACAGCAAAACAAGTCCAAAATGCTAATTTATTAAATTAAAAAGGCTAATACCAGGTCTTGTATCAGCCTTTTTAATTGATTAATTTAGTATTTTTGTAGCTTTGGTGTTGCCGCCTTTTTCAATATATATTTTGAACATATCATTGTTCATAACTTAGCAGTTTATTGGCACTTTAAAACTTCTAAGTGATTGTTGAGCAGGCATTGGCATGGGTTTTCATAGTCATCTGTGAATGTAATATATACATTTGTTTGCAGCTGACACCAAACGAGGAGGCATTTCTACGGAATTATGCAGGCGTGGTGCACAGTCAGATGAGTCAGCTGCCACAGCACCCTATTGACCAGGGTAAGTCAACATTTACAGACTGAGCACAGCAGGCCAGACCTATGACTTCACACCCCCACCCTTTACCACTAACACTCGTATTTACAATGCTGAGGTAATGTTGTTCTGATCACACCACTTGTTCGTTTTATTCATTCATCGATTCATTTTTCTTCGGCTTAGTCCCTTGTATATCAGGGGTCACCACAGCGGAATGAACCACCAACTATTCCGGCATGTTTTATACAGCGAATGCCCTTCCAGCTGTAACCCAGCACTGGGAAACACGCATACACACTCATTCTCAGACACACACGTACAATTCATACACTTTTATCAGTTCAGTTCATCCAATTCACCCATAGTGCATGTCTTGTGGGGGAAATCAGAGCACCCGGAGGAAACCCACGCCAACATGGGGAGAACATGCTAACTCCACACAGAAATGCCAACTGGTCCAGCCGGGTCTCGAACCAGCAACCTTTTTGCTCTAAGGCGACAGTGCTAACCACTGTCCCACTTGTTTTTTTATGTATTATAAAATAAAATACTTTCTGGCTATCTAACTATCTAACTAAATTAGAGCTAATTAAAACTAATGTAAATTTAAATCTTAAATCTGAAAGAAGCTTTTTATAGATTTATTATTATTAAGTCATATTTAATTTACAGACCTAGATAATATTAAAAATAAACTGTATTAAATTAAGGTTAATAATAACAATAATATCGTAATAAAATAATATATAGTCAATTTTTATTTACAAAAGAATTCTGCTTATGACAACATTGTGCAATAGCTGTATCTTCCACTAAGGGGCGCTAGTACTACACAAATATTTCAACTAGACAGTTTGAATGCAACATAAACTGTTTATATCCTCGCTTTAAATCTCAAGATCTTCTGATCAAATGAGTTATAGAGTGAATTTACTTCACTTAGTAGCTTAATATCTAATACTGAGGATCAATTTTTTTAACAAAACATTTTTGTATTATGTTCTTGATGCATTAACTGAGCATTAGCATTTAATAGATGTCACATTCATTGTCATTTTGTGTCTTTTTTCGTGACAGATAAGCTGTTGTGAATAACACTAGGTGTATAGAATTTTGGAGCCCATATTTTGCTTTCATTAATTATGCATAATGAGCCTGGTTGTTAAGCAAGGATACCAGCACTGTGCTCTTTTTGGAAAGATCTTGATAAATAATGCAGCAGCACAAGAAAGATGGATGTAGATGTCGATGTGTGGTGCACTTCTGGGATTTTTTGAGCTCAAAATATTTTTTTAGTGCAGATCTTAGCTCCAGCATTAGGAAGTCTTACGTTGTCGATGCACCAACATTTTAACGAGTTCTTCATCTTATGATGTGATTAAGAAAAAAAAGACAGCCCTTTGATGAAAGTATTTTCAGTCTATCAATAATACAGTCTAATGAGGCTGAGATGAAAGGAATCACACACTTAATAAACAGCTCACAATGAAGTACAATAACCTTTGTTTAACACACAGATGAGGCCCATCAGCAATAAATTGGAGAATAGAATCAGTCGATTCCTTTGAAGAGAAACTCTTACGTCTCATTCTAGGTGAAAAAATAAAGCGTGCTAAAAAACACTAGAGGTCTGCTAAGGTGAACTGGAATATTTTTACTAGCACTAGCTTTTATGTTCAAATTAAACCGATAAAGTAGGATCATGACACTATCTGAGGTTTTAGCTAATGTAATATTAGTGCAAATGGATGTCATTTTAGCCGTAAACATGCTAATGCTTTCTCTCTCGCATAAGGCAAAATAGTGCCGCATCTCAAGGGAAAGCACTGCAGTTGGATGAATTATTTACGTCTCAAGCATAGCCGTCTCATAGGACTGCCTGTGTTTGCATCCAACACCTTGGAAAAATGAGTCACCCTTGTACATCTTCGCAGATATGGCTATATTTGCTTTACATAATGCTAGCAATAATGGAAAGACTCTAAATGGCTTTGTACATTCAAAAGCTTGAATGGCTCGTAGGCCTTTCAGATTTCTGTGGGTCAATTAAAAAGCTTCTGTCTGTACTGTTAATAAGAGCCATGTAAGATTGAGAGTTCGTTTGTAATGGGCACAGTAAGACATTTGTGCGCTGAATAGCCTCGGTGCATGGACTCAGAGCATTGAGGCTGACCGTTTCACTTTTTCAGTGCCTATTATTCTCACATGTGAATGAACACTTGTGTGTTCGGCTGTTTTTCTCATTACTTGAGAAGGCATGATCATGCTGTTGTGAATGTGGGTGGTTTCGAGATCATTATTTGGCTCAAGCTGGACAGATTTGATGTCTGAAGTTGAAGGTGAAATCAGTATATATCAATTTCTTTATGGTCAACAGGATTTTCTAATCATTTAAAAGAAATTTGATCAAAGGTAAGCACTTGCATTTTATATGCTTTCACTGTAAAATCGCTTTCAGAATTTTAATTTGTGGATTCATTTTTGTAATCACTTAAACTTCTCAAAACGATTAAGTTTCCTTATTCCTTCATATTGTAAAATATATAATTTTCCCCATAGTTTGTGAACAAAATAAACTAATTACTTAAAATAGATCACGAACATCCCCAAAATATGATATGCTGCAATATTATGTATATGGTAAATATTACTGCACTGTAGTAACATGCATTGAGCAAACTATCTAGAGGAAATAAATGTCTTTTTCTTTTATTTAAGAAGGCATGATTATTCTGCTATGAATGTGGGCAGTTTTGAGATCATTATTTAGCTCAAGCTGGACAGATTTGATGATGTCTGAAGTTGAAGGTGAAATATACAATGTGTATATATTAAAAAATTGTGAACCGGAATTTTTTTATAATTAACTTTTTTGTCAAAAGTAAGCACTAAAGACACTTGCATTTAAAAGCTTTCAATGTAAAATTGCTTTGGTAATTTTAATTTTGTGAATAGATTTTTGTATCCACAAGTTATCCAAAGTTAAAATCCTTAAAGCTCTTTTTACATCGAAAGCATAAAAAGTGCAATTTATAATGTTTAAATATTTTGAAAATAAAAAATCTACTTTTTAAAATGTTATTTTTTTTTACATGCACTCAAAAAATGATGTTTGCTGCTTGTTCAAACTACTTATTTAAAATGAGCTACAACAAACCAATTCTTGATATTTTTGGGACAACTTCATTTTTTATGTTAAATCCACTTAAACTCAATTTCTTCATGTTGTGAGAGGTGAGATATCCTTTTCACAGTTTGTGTTGAAAAGAAATGACAACTTAATATTACTAAATATTATATGATGCATGCATTTCATTGAGAAAACTATCTAAAAGAACAAATCAGAGTTTTTCTCTTTATTTGACAAGGCATTATTATGCTGTTGTAAATGTGGCCATTATTTCGCTCAAGCTGGACAGATTTGATGACATCTGTAGTTGAAGGTAAAATCAATATAAATTAAATTATTTTTTGTCAACAGGAATTTTTATAAGAAATTTTATCAAAGGTTATCTTAAACACTAAAGTAGACATTTGCATTTTATATACTTTCAATATAAAATTGTTTTGGTAATTTTAACTTTGAGTTTATGAAATTATGAAAAGTGATTTTCATCGAAAGCGTATAAAATGCAATTTTTGATGTTTTAATAAATAAACGTTCTACTTTAAAAAATGTTACATGGCATTTCACTTGCACTCAAAAAATGACATTTGCTGTTTGTTCAAACTACTTATTTAAAATGAGCTGCAAGCTGCAACAATACAATTTTAAATGGACAACTTGGTTGCTTTGTTAAATCCTATTAAATGTGTAAATCTTAATAACCTTACAAAATTTCTTTGTTGTCTCAACACCTTGTTTTTGAGGAACTCAAATTTGTTTATGTATTCAGTCAATTATGTAGTAATTTATGCAATTGTTACTGTTTTCCTAATTAATTTTTCAATATTTCATAACAATTTTATAAACTATGCAGAATTTGTATGCATTTTGTATTTTTGTATGGCACTGTATGTTATATTAAGAGAAAACTTCATTTTCAAAAATGATCAGTGAAGTAATTTATAAAACTCACTGGACAGAAGTGAGATGTCATTTTCCTCACAGTGCAAAAAGCAACAAATAACTTAAAAAAGACCATGAATAACCCCAAAATATTATATGCTGCAATATAATGGAAAAACTATATATTACTTTACTGTAGTAAAATGCATAGAGAATTATCTAGAGGAATAAAATCTAAATAAATTTGGCCACAACTACGAATGTGATACAAATGTTGTGTAAAAAAAAAAAAGTGTAATATTCTTATCATGACCAATTAAAATAAAGCAAACAGTCAAACATTCCTCTTACTTTGTTTTCACTTTTATTTTTATAGGGCAACCTTAATCAAACACGTGTGGGTGGGTAATTTGGCTCACCATAACAGCCACCACTTCGTTTTCTTCCACAAATGTGGCATGTTTACTCTGTCAGATGCTCCAAACCTGCCACTTTCCCTGTTTACTGGTCTATGTATTAAACAAATTTGCATTTGGGATCGTCTAATTGGCTAATTACCATAGACGCATATTCTAAATTTTGTAATGCAATTTTAATCAAATGTAAGGCCTTGAAGCTTAGTGGATGGAGCTGGATGGTGGTGTCTGGGGGAGAACAGTGGGCGTAGGAGAACTTTCAGAGTTCAGGCAGCTCAAAGCAACATCCCGTGCCAAGCACACTCATTAACGGGACTTAAGAAAGAGCCGCTGCTAAGATGAAACAAACTTTTATTCTTAATATAAATAGGCAAATCTGTGCATTACATTTTTTTTATTGCAATTTACTCCACTTTATATCAGTTCATAAATGGAACATGTACTGTATTAAATAAATAGTGTGTGTATTTGATTATTTTTACTCCTTTTCAAATATCAAGTATTTATTTTATTTAAACAAAAAGGGTATATTACAAAAAAATCGTTTAATCATAATGGGCCCATCATACCTCCGGCGCAATAAGGCGCAAGACATC